TAATTCTTTTATTATTAAACTTCAAATAATTCATAAAATAAATATGAAATAAAATATGCAAAAACAACAAATTATATTTTAAGTATTTGGAAAAACACATATTCCAAATATCACATACATCTTGTAGATGGTGCTTGTCCATTTCTTTAGTTTTAAAATGTGCTGCAATGGATTCTAGGGCGTCTGCGATTCTTTTCTTTGCATCTACCTCTTCTTGGTAAAGCTGAAGTTTGTTGGTATAATATTCTTCCTTTAACAAAATTTTTCGTTCTGTTTGCTGGGATAGTTTCTCGGTTGCCGTAATGGTGTGTTCCAGCCTTTGGATACACCTTTTTCGAAGATGTTATTTTGCTACCATTTAATTTTGGTTGCTCTGTTGGTTTACTGTTTTCTTTATTATTGTTTAAAATAACAGAAGGAACGATAGGCTTTTGCTGAGGATTTTCGTTATTTAAATTATTACATTCTGTCGTTCAACTGCGACTGGTCCAATTAAATCCAAATTTTTTCATCATCTGTATTTAATTGTGTATTGGTGGAGGAGCCACCTCCAGTACACTGTGTATAGCGTTTTATAGAACTTTTTTTTAAATTTGTTCCAGTCTTTATGTCGTGCCAAGTCTGAAGAAGAAAAAGGGATATTTAACTAACAAAGCATTAATTGCCGTATATAACATATGTTTAGAAATTTTTATGACACGAACTTACTTTACGCCATTTTTTCCAATCCTTAGTAGCTCCCGGCACTGCATTTAAATTACTTGGCAATTCTTTCCACATTTTCCTTGCATGTTTAAAAGTAAATGTTTGTGTAAATTTTCTATTTTGTAATTCCGTGTGTTTTCCCATAAATTCTGTTAATTCAGTTTTTTGACTAGCTGAAACGTTCTATCTTTTGATGCCACTCCAAACACTATAATAAATAAAATAAATGATAAAATGAAATAAGGCACTTATTAAATTAAATATTTGTCAATTGAATGTACTTACCGGCTTTATAAATGATCTTGTTTATATTCATTTTCTATGTTTATAAGGTTTAAATCAACAATCAATCGACAGTTAACGTTTTGTTGGTAAAACCGATTTGTAGCGCTGTTGTCAATTTGCTTTTCCAAACAGTCGGATTTGCATTTCGTATACAAGTGAGGAATACACTTTATAATCCGCATTCGATTATCGCCATACGAGTATTGTTATACAGGAAAGTGCTGTTGCGCAACTAAAGCCAGGGCGAAAGCCTGACTGATTTTTTGGTATAATCGTATGACCATCAAGAAACGGTCTTAGTTGACTTTCAACAACCTTCTTCAAAATCTTTTAGATCTAAAATCATTTAATGATGTTGGATTACTTATTTTGGCTAATGGTTTCACTAATGATTCTTTCCAAGCTAAAGGAAAATATGAATTTTCTATGCATACATTCATTAAGTGAGTTAAAACCGGTATTATTATAGGACAACACAGAAAAAGTAGATCTATATTCAAGCAGTCATGACCAAAAGCTTTGCTTTTAATATTAAGTAAAAGTTTTTTAATTGAATTTTCATCGACCAAGGTAAAATTAAATTGATTTTGAAATTGCTGTTTACTTTGCGAATTATAAAAGTCCAGGAGTTGTTGGCTGGGCTTATTTTCCTTATAGAGATCTTTGTAGAAGTCTCTAAACTTATCTACATTTTAAAATTCATTTGAGGGAATAACATTTTTGTTTTTGCCTATGTTTAATTTTTTTAAATTCTTTCCACTGGTCTCCTGTGCTACCTTTTCTAAATTTATAATTTAAATAAGCTTTTTTTTATTACGTATGGCAGTTGTAGTGAAGTTTCTTAGTTGCTTGCAATAATTCCATTTAGTTTTTTAATTTAGTAAGGGCCTTATCACGCAACTTTTGTAATATGTTAATATTGTCAGTGATCCATGGCACATACTTTAAGGGCTTGTTAATCTTCTTAATTACTATTGGTTTGTCAAACAAATCTAAAATTATATTATTAAAACAGTTTTTTGGCATATTCGTGATCGTCTAGTTAATTTAATAATAATAATAATAATAATCTTTATTGCCCAACAGATACAACAAAAGATAAAATAAAATATGTGGCAGTATTAATAACAAAAGTAGCCTATGAGAGTAGATATTCTATTCTATTATAGATTAAACACTAAAATTAACAATTAGATCCTTAATTATAGAATTAAGAGAGAAAAAATGAATGTCACTACTTTTACAGAGGTCGTTAAAGCAATTACACATTGAATAAATTGGAGACTTTATCATAATATTTGTTTTGGCTAGAGAGCAATAAAAAGTTGGATTTTGTCTTCTAAACAGTATAGATATTTTAAAATTAATTAAACCTAATAAAAAAGAAGAATCAATTTTATTATTGACTAGTTTGTACAGAAAACTAGTTGAGACTTCTTAACTAGAATGAGTTCATATTAAATCGAAGCAGAAGAGCATTGTGGTCATAACCTTTTGGAGGATAAAAATTGTCAAATTTAAGCGAGGCAATTTTCAAGAATTTTCTTTGAATGTTTTCTAGTCGCGTACACTCAGAGAAATATCATGTCATGAAAAGCATATGAAATGATATTAATTTAAATAATCGGGTAAATTTGATTCAAATAGAAAAAAATGTAGTTTTATATTCATTTACCAACAGTTTTACAATGTTTTTAAACACTTTTAAAGTGTACTCTTTTTAAAATATATATACAAAAAGAAATCTATTTATTTCATTGCCTTTCTCAACGTTATTTTAAAAATATATGTATTATACAATTGTTATACACCTTTCAATTTAATGAGAAACACCAATGACGCCAAAACATATTTGAATCCCTTTGAATTATTAGGGATTCAAATATGTTTTGGCGTCATTGGTGTTTCCCATTAAATTAATAGGTGCATAACAATTGTATAATACATATCTTTTTGAAACAACTTTGAGAAAGGCAATGAAATAAATGGATTTCTTTTTGTATATATATTTTAAAGAGGGTACACTTTAAAAGTGTTTCAAAACATTGTAAAACTGTTGGTAAATGAATGTAAAACTAAATTTTTTTCTATTTGAATCAAATTTACCCGATTATTTAAATTAATATAATTTCATATGCTTTTCATAACTTGATATTTCTCTGAGTGTAATATTAATATTATAGGGCTCCACGCTAAGGCGGCGTACTCTAATTTTGTTTTTACGAACGCGTAGTACAAAATTTTTAGCGAATTTTCATTAGTAAACGATCTGGTATTTCGTATCAAAAAGACCAGCATTTTGTAGGATGACTTGCAAACATTTTCTATATGCAGGTTAAATGATAGATGGTTATCAAAGTGAACTCCTTAGTCTATAATTGAGTCGCATTTTTGTAGATGATTTTCATTAAAGAAATATTGATTGTATGTTTTTTGTTTGTATAAGATACAGTTTTGCATTGAGTATTATTCATAAACAGTTTGTTTGTATCACACCAGTCCTTCAGAGTTTCTAAGTCCCTTTAAAGGCATCAACTTACTTACTTTATAAAATTTAGGACTCTACCTTGTGAGTTTTCTTACATTGATAATAAAGTTATTTTGTAATTGGTCAGGTGAAATAAAACACAAGTATTAATTTTTTTAACCCCTTATTTAATTTAAATTTAAAAGAAACAACAAATACAAAGGGGGGTCCGTTATGTCGGAGTGCAATTCAGGGAAAAGGACCATAAAAACCTTCAGCGACTTTTAAAGTACAAACAAAACAATATATACAGGGCAAAACGAAAACATATCAAGAATAAAATAAACAAATAAAACAACCAAAATACGTAAACGAAATAACAATGTTGTACTCAGTAATTTGGGTTTTTTATGAACAATACAAGCATTTTATACTCAGGCAAAGTCACTATTAAAAGTGGTCATAAGTTTATGACAGTAAAACATAACCAATTGTTACCTTACCACGTATCCTCAAAATATTGTTAAATGATTTTTAAAAGCAATTAAATAAATTACGGGTAAGACACCTGTCAAATAAAAAATATTATTATTCTAAATCTACAACAATTTTATTATTTAATATTTTTTTTTAAATAACTGAAATTTAATGTTTATAGGTTATGTTTCATGCAACCATAGGTGTAACATTTTTAATTCACTAAATAAATAAATTGCATTAATTTTTGTTAATCTACAACAATTACTTATTTAAAATTTCATTTAAATTAATTTTAAGGTTTGGGTTTCATGCAACCATAGGCATTACATATTTTTAATTTATTAAATAAATACATTCTATTTTCTCTTTTTTTATTGCAAATAGGCAGTTATCTACTAGAAACATATTTTTGTTTTTTTTATAATGTTTTCGTTTACTATTTTAATTTTAGCTTTCCTACATCTAGATGTCGATAAAAAAAAGAAATGGATCAACTTTGTAAACAAACTGGGATAGATCGCATCAAGGTATAGTGTTTTATGTTCACGACATTTTAGTGATGCATGTTTGATCGAACATATCAGCTAATAGTAAGACTGTTTCCAACTATTGAAGGGGTTTATTCAAAATATGTAAGTATATATAGGGACTTCCCTTACAGAAATAAATTACTAAGAAACTCTAAAAAAAAACACTAATTAATCACTGACCATGGTCTGCAGTATTTCAGTAATAAATTGGCGAGTGAGTAATTCAATTATTAAACATTAGCTATTTAATTTAAAATGTTTATTAATCTTTTAAAATCAGTATATAATAGTATAATAGATTTATCTGCATTTACACTGATTTTACATGATTGACAAAAATAGTTTTAATTTACATAAAGGGGCAACTATATGTTAAAATTTTGTGCTCCCATAATAAATAGTCTGCACAAAATTTTTACATTTAGTTGCCACTTTATTTAAATAAAAACTATTTTTTGTGACGCCATAGGTTTTTTTGGTAATACTATTAATAAAACGTTTTAAAAGTGAACAAAAAAATCTAAACTAATAAATTAATATGGGTTGTCATCAATGGGGCTGGTGGTGCTCTTAATCTCTTCGTTAAGTGCAGCTCTGCCATGCTGGTCACTACATGGCTCCTTCGCTTTTTTACGCCATAGAGAGCACTCATCATTTAGTTTGCTCTTCATGGCAGATTTAATTACTTTGATTTCTGCTGTCATATTACTATTTATGCCCATTTCCCGCATGACATATTCTGCAAATAAAGATGGCATGATATAATCATAGTCCTTCGGAGGGGACTTTAAGCCCGCGGTCCGTTCCTACCCCTAACCCGCACAAGCCATTCAGTTGGCTTTTGGGACTTTTAAGGAAGTAAGGGTGGAACTAAAAGAGCACTTTTATAAATAAACTTTTTATAATACAAAAAACATTAAACTTGTTTGAATGTTACCTAGCACAGCATTCTTTACATGACATACATGACATACCCTCCTCCACCCCCGTAGTCCCATTCTACGGTCGTCATGTCTTCATCTAGGCCAGAAGCTGGGCGGCTGAATCCAGTGAAGGGCAGGAGTCGTTGCTGCAGAGTACCTGCTTTCGCTTAACCTCTGCGTTTTGGAAGTTGGTATTGTAGGTGTAATTGGTGACCTAATTCTGGGTTGTGTTGTTGGAGCCTTCTGGTAGTCTATTTTGAGTTTGAGCAGTGGACCATATTAGAGTGTTGGGTCCATCGCATTGATTTGTTTGGCAAAATTTATCATTTCTCTTGGGTGTTCTATGATTAGTGTTCTGAAGTTAATAATTGTTATTTGGTCTATATTTAATTGTAGACATAGATCTCGTCTTGCTAAGTACGTCGCTTCGCAAGCGGTAAGTCTGTGGGCTGGATGGTCCGGGGTATTGCATGCGTCGCACAGCGGATTTGCTTCCTTCCCAATCCGATGTAGGTGCCATTTATAGTTTGCATGGGAGGTTAGTAGAGCTGTTATAGACGGATGAATCGGCCCGGGATGAGTTTCCATCCAGTTGTGCAGGTCTGGAATTAGCTGATGGCATTGCCTTTCCTTTGGGCTGGAGTCCCACTGTTCCTGCCAGTAGGCAATTAGTCGGGTTCTTAAGAAGTTGCGGGCGTCGGTTAGGCCCTCATGGTGTTCCACATCCACCACGCGGCCAAGAAATGTGGTTCTTCCAAAGTTCTTTAATTCCTGTATAGCCAGGTTTTCTTTTAAGACTAAGTCTATTGGTGGGATGCCTGCCACAACGGCAAGGGAGTTGTCTGGTGTGGAGCGGTAAGCCCCCAGAATGAGTCTGAACACTGTTGCCTAAGCTCTTAGAAGATGTTTCTTGTTCTTACATTGATGGATCCGGTGGGACCAGATCTGCACTGCATATGATACTATTGGGACTATGGCTCTTTGATAGATTTGCATCATGCTTGTTGCATATTGTATGTGTGAAATTTAGGTTTTCATCTATTATTACCCCTAGCAGTTTTATCTGGGGTTTGCGTGGGATGTTCTGATTGTTTATTCGGATGGTTGGATTCCTTCTCAGCTTTGTGTTAGTCAAGATATATTCCGACTTTGTGGCTGATATTGACAGTTTATGCCTTTGGGTCCAACGATGGACCAGGTTTAGTGCTGTGCTGGCTGTTTTTTCAAGTAGGGCTCTGGTGCCTGCTTTAATAACAAGCGTGATGTCATCTGCGTAAGCAGTAATCTTACAGTTATCCGGATAGTCGAGGGTCAGAAGACCATCGACCACCAGGTTCCACAAGGTTGGGCCGAGTGCTGAGCCCTGTGGGCAGCCTCTTGTTAGTGTTTTAACTGTCCTGTGGTTATTCGTCTCATGGTAAATTTTTCTGTTGCTTAAATAGCTTTTAAAGGTTCCCAGAAGGTTGTCAGGAATGTCCTGGTTATATAGCGCTATGATAGCCGAAGGCCACCACAACGCATCAAATGCTCCTGATATATCAAGAGCTACGATAGCTGTGTGCATATCGTCACGTCTGGCATTATCTATGATCTCTTTTAAAGCTGTAATGGTAGATTTTCCGGGGCAGAAGCCATGCTGTCTTGAATTAAAAAGTTGTTCATCATCTCTAGTAAGTTTTAGCTTTTATAACAGAACTCTCTCGAACAATTTACCCAGTTCGCAAAGAAGGGTGATTGGCCTTAGTGACTTTGGTGCGGCTGGGTCTTTTTCTGGAGATTTTAGAATGGTGACCAGCCGGCCTTCCTTCCACTTAGCCCCAGGTCCTGGGGCTCTGTCGTTCCTTATTTTTGCCAGACAGTTGGAAATGTCTTCGGCTGTGATTATAACCTGCTGGTTCTGGCCTGTGCACTCTTCCGCAAGAGTGCGCATGTTAATATGGTTTTGCGTATCCTGCTCAGGATCATCTGCCGGCATTAGTGTGTCTAAGATCACTTCGAAGCAATCCTCTATTGTAGTTGTGGCATTCACTCCAGTCTGGGACGTGGGCAGAACAGACGGTGCTATCTTTCCTGCTGCGAGCTTGTACGTGAATGACCAGGGGTCTTCCGAGAGAGTGTTGTCCACAAAGTCGTCCCAAGATCTGGAGCGTGCTTTGGCTATAGCTTGTTTATATTTGGTGAGGGACTGCGCGTAGGCGGCCCTCATTCTCTGCCTCATTTCATAGTCTGTTTGCCTCTGGTATTGTTTTCTCTTCCTCCTAAGTTGCACTCTGATTTGGTCGAGCCCCCCGTGCCACCAAGTGCACGAATTAACCCGTGTGGGCTTTTTGGGAAGGACTGAGTTCGTTGAGTCATAGAGAGTGACTGTCAACTGTTCAACTTGTTGCATTGTTTATTTGGTCTACTGAATGCAACTCAGGGAGGGGATGCAAGTTTGTTTGGTTTTGAACCACTTCGAGCAAAAGCTCGTTGCTGGCACCGAATTTGAATCTGGGCCTGTCGTAATTAATAATTTGGCGTTCAACTTGGAAGATGAAGGTGATCATCCTGTGATCTGATTGTATGGCCTCTTCATGGAGGGTCCATTCTGTTAGCTTGTTAGTAGAGATACAAAGTGCGTTCTGGACCGGAAGTGACCCAGACGCTACGTGACGTCAGCAGTAGGCGGTTCTCGATGGTGGCGCCCCCCTGGTGGGTGGTGGGGGGTGATCATATTAGCTATTGGTGGGCAGGCATTTGGGCAACGCCCTCAACTGATAAGCGTAAGTGAGCCTATTGGTGGGTTGTTGGCGGATGGCGGCTGGCGGATGGCGGCCATGTTTGATAGATATTAGCTATTGGTGTTGTGGTTTAAAGTGGGCGGGGCTTAGGTGTTTAGTTGGCATTACTGGAGATGCAAAAGATAAGCGATATGCATATTGGTTGTTTGTGGTTAGCGTATTAGTTTGGTATTACTGGAGATGCAAAAGATAAGCGATATGCATTTGCTGCGTGACTTAACAGTGGTTTGATATCCGGGGGAGATAAGGATTTATTATTATTTTGTTGTAAATTTTATTTTTGACGCCATTTTGAATTGCTGACGTCATCCGACTTGTTGTTCGACAAGTTTCGGGGGTTTTAAGGCGGTAATCAGTTATTTGGAGATAAGGATTTATTATTTTCAAATTTTTATTTTTGGTACCATTTGGCTGACGTCACCCCAAGATACAAAGTGCGTTCTGGACCGGAAGTGACCCAGACGCTACGTGACGTCAGCAGTAGGCGGTTCTCGATGGTGGCGCCCCCCTGGTGGGTGGTGGGGGGTGATCATATTAGCTATTGGTGGGCAGGCATTTGGGCAACGCCCTCAACTGATAAGCGTAAGTGAGCCTATTGGTGGGTTGTTGGCGGATGGCGGCTGGCGGATGGCGGCCATGTTTGATAGATATTAGCTATTGGTGTTGTGGTTTAAAGTGGGCGGGGCTTAGGTGTTTAGTTGGCATTACTGGAGATGCAAAAGATAAGCGATATGCATATTGGTTGTTTGTGGTTAGCGTATTAGTTTGGTATTACTGGAGATGCAAAAGATAAGCGATATGCATTTGCTGCGTGACTTAACAGTGGTTTGATATCCGGGGGAGATAAGGATTTATTATTATTTTGTTGTAAATTTTATTTTTGACGCCATTTTGAATTGCTGACGTCATCCGACTTGTTGTTCGACAAGTTTCGGGGGTTTTAATGCGGTAATCAGTTATTTGGAGATAAGGATTTATTATTTTCAAATTTTTATTTTTGGTACCATTTGGCTGACGTCACCCCAACTTGTCCCGACAAGTCTATTTATTGTCCAGAAATCTTTTTCGGTGATCAGTCTTAATATTGCTTTATGTTGATTATGTTAATAATGGGCTTTAAATTGTTATTAATATTTCTGCCAAGTATAATTTTGGTAAAATCAAATAATTTAACTGATAAAGATGTTGTAATAAAACATCTCGAAACATTTGGCTACCTTAATAGTTCAGAGTTTTCGTTGACTAGTTATGAAGAAGCTTTAATATTATTTCAGGAGAGATATAATTTAAACATAAGTGGTGAAATAACGAAAGACCTTTTAGAATTTATAAAAACACGTCGTTGCTCTATACCAGATGAAAATATTTATGAATTGACGCAAAACCCACCTAAATGGAATAAACATAATATATATTGGTATGCATATAATAGAGAGATAAAAAGAGTTGCTACTAGAGCTTTCAATGAGTGGGAAAAATTTGTAAATCTAAAGTTTATTTTTTCGCTTAGAAATCCCGACATTCTAATTTCATTTGGGAAAAATAACCATAGAAATTCAGTTCGATGCATGAAGGGTTATTGTATTACACCATTTGATGGAAAGGGTGCTGTAGTTGGTCACGCATACCACCCAAGTCATATTAATTCCTGTACGGAAATTCATTTAGATTCAGATGAAAATTGGTATTTTGGTTTCGATGTACCTGAAGATAATGATAAAACAAGTCTATATACCGCATTGCTTCATGAAATTGGACATACTTTGGGGTTGAGTCATTCACCAGATAATAATGCACTAATGTACGCATATTTTTCACCAAATATAACAACCCTATCCGATGAAGATAAAAAAAATATACAAAATTTATATGGATTACCCCCAAAAACTACTCCAAAAATAGTAACATCAACAACCCCAAAAACTACTCCAAAAATATTAACAACAACAAAAACAATCCCAACTACAAGGAAACTTACAGATAAACCAAGA